CTTTAAATCTAATGAGCCTTCCTGTTAAAAGTAAATCTAATTTTTCTAAGGACCTACTATACGCGGATGGGCCCGATACTGTAACCTCTGCCCCACTCCCACTGCCTGTTAAAGTACCAGGCGTCGTGTCTTGGGGGTCCACCACCAGTCCCGAGGCTACAACCCGGTCAGCGGGTCAGGGACAGTGGCCAGCCAGCCAGGACACAGATCATCCAACCCAGCTGATCCTGAGACGAGACCAAGCTGCTGCCTAGCACATGAAACCAGCCCTCGCTCTGGTCACATGCCGGAGGCTGACCAGTCTATGGCCACGGCTGAACTCAGGACGACAAATAAGCCCTGCCTCCATAGTCCAGACCCGCAAGCTGAACTATGCACGCCCGAGGCCTTGTGAGGAAGTCATCAGCAAGTAAATGTGTGAAAATCTTAAACTAACTAGTTTCCTGTAACCTATGTTTTCCTATCGTGTCCGGTCGGCTGTATCACCCTTTTTCCCAGTAAGGGACTCTTTTGTCCCTTGCTGATATGAATACTGCTGTACATGTTTTGTCGTGTTGTTTACCCCCTAACTAACGCATGCTAAAGAAAACCAACCTATATAAGGTGTCCCCACTTGCTACAATATTACTCGTAGGAAAATCCCGACCGTCCAGCCCAAGCAACAATTCCAAGTCTTGCGGTCCATCTCTTTAAACCATGTTAAACCAGAACCTCTTCCTTAGAAAAAAAAAAAACCTATTGCCTTCAGTTGGCCTGAACACTGCGCACCAGCTCGATGTTCCTTCCATGTTGTTTATAAAGGCTAACAGAAGAGACCATATGGCCTTGAGAAGCCAAAAGAGTTATGTCTCAAAATTACTAACATCTATTAAGAAGCCCCAAGTTCAACAATCATGGCTCTTAAAACACTTTTATATTAAAAAATCGTGTTACCTCGCTAGAAAAAGCTTTTAAGACCCAGTAAAACAAACTAACCTGCTTAGGAACCCATGTTTTTTATATATACCAACTCTTAGCCTCTGCAGAAGTGCTTCTCAGTACCTCTGCAAATGCTGAAGCTGAGTTGCATTCTCTGGGTCTTTTTTTCCCTTTTTCCTAGAGTTTAACAGGCTCTTTTCTTTATCTAATTTTCCATGCACTTGGAGGGTTAAACAGGCATACCGAGAGTCAGTGTAAATGTTTACAGTCTTACCTTCACTGAGTTCTAAGGCCCTGATGAAAGCAATGAGCTCAGCTTAATGACAGTGTCCACGGTTACCACCACATATTCTACACATCTCTTTCCTTGTGGGTTGATGAAGCTGTTCCTGTCCACGTATAGCCCCTAGTCTACTGATGCCCAAGGCTGGTCCCTTAGGTCAGGTCTGCTAGAGTAAACTTGAGTCCAACACCTCTACACAGTCATGCTCGACAGGGCTCTAGCTGCCGGGAGCAAGGTGGCGGGTTCAGGGTGTTTCCAGTTTAGTAGATCAATGGTTGAAAAGGGCTGATAGATGAAAGTCTGTTGCGCCCCCGGATGTGGGCCTGGTCATTATAATAGACAGGTCCTCGCATCTCCCTGAGAGGCATTTGCTTAGCTTGAGCAAGACCAGCTCTGAGACAGCCCACTTGACTATCTTGACTTCCTTCCTTGGCCTCTCGAGGTTCTGATCCTCCCCTTCAAGGTGAGACCTGGGGGGTGTGAGCTCCTGAATCTCATTTCTGAGGGGACTGTTAGCCTTGGTAAAGCCGGATAGGCTGGGAAATATGGAGAAAGAATTTATATTATCTCTGGCGGCTCCTGCAAAACTGGCTTTTCTTGGTGTTTGTGAGACTCCTTTTTTTAACTCTGTGTCTGCTGGTGAAGCTGCTCTTACTTTTATTTTTGGCTTTTTTTGCAGTAAGCTGTTAAACAGGGCTAAATTTATGCTGGTTTTGTCTATATTATATTTAACCATGAGTCAATATAAAGGAATTTGATATAGGTACACTGGCTCTCCTCCGACCCCTGTCACCACCTTAAATACATGGCCAATTGTTCCTTGTCTATAGTTCCTTCTGTGGGCCATCCAACACCAAAAGAGGGCAGTTCTAATTCACACAGAGATCTTAACCTCTAAAGGGTTAACTTAACTCCATAATCTCCTGCAAAACTTTTCTTAAGGTTCTATAACATGCATTTTAATAGAGTAAGTTTTGATGATTTGATGACTTTCCTTTTTTCTTTTTGAAATTTTCCTTTTGAAATGTTTTAACACAGTTCCTAGCAGAGTAGGCTTACTTTGTGTCTGACCTATTTTTCTCTC